TCCTCCTCCTCCTCCTCCTCCTCCTCCTCCTCCCCCTTCTCTCGCGGCCGCGGGTCTGCCCGAGCGCCCGACTGCGGTGCGCAGGCTCCAGATGACAATCTCGGTCTGGTTCGATGTCCAGCTTGATCCTGTTCGATGTCGGCGTCGGGCTCGCTGTCGGCCGGCGGGTTCGGCATCGGGCCATCATGGCCCGACGCCGGACCCGCCGGGTTCGGCGTCGGCCGCGGGCGTTCCATGATGATTCGCCGCGGTCCAGCTTGAGGAAAGCAACATGTTGGACATTTTCCCATTTTGAAAGCGTTGCGGCTCCTTGGGGTGGGCTCTGCTTGGCAAGCCAGGGAGGACCAGGAGGGGAAAAAACACACAGACACAATTAATCGTCGATTCCTCAGAAAATATTGGAAAATATGAGAAGTGTGGGGGAAGAGAGAAACCCAGAAAATATGGGAAAATATGGGGGATATGTTTATTTGTGTGTATTTATTTGTGTGTCCTGGGGCCCCTTCAGAGGAGGCGGGCCTTGAGGGAAAGGAGCCCTGAGGTTTTTCGCCGTTCTCGGGCTCCCTGGGCCCTCAGGGCCTTGGGGCTGTCCGAAGAGGACTCGGAATCAAGAGCTGGCCCTGGGGGCAGGCCCACGGGGGTCCAGGACCCGTGTCCCTCGGGGCCCGCCTCTTTCGGGCTGAGTGCCAACGTCGATGTCGAACTCGATCTGGTTCGATGCCAATCTCGATTCCGTGCCATGTCGAGCTCAATCTCGGCCGGCCGTTCGGTGGCAATGTCGATCTTGATCCCGTTCGGTGTCGATGCCGACGTTCCGATGCAATTCCGACGTTCCGATTGCATTCGATGCTTACCTTCCGATTGGCGCTGAGGGGTCCATCTAACAATCCGCCCGATCGTGTTTCTTTATTGTTTGGGGCCTAACGGGCATGATAGCCCCCAGCGCCCCCCCCCCTTTCCCCCTATAACACCACAGCGCCTGTGTACACCACAGTGCCTGCGTGCACTACAGCGCCTGCGTACACCATACCGCTTATGTACACGACAGCAGCCGAGTGCAACACAGCGCCAGTGTGTGCCACAGTGCCTGCGAGCACCACAGCGCCTGTGTACACCACAGCGCCTGTGTACACCACATCAGCCGTGTGCAACACAGCACCCGTGCACACCACAATGCCTGCGTGTACTACAGCGCCTGGGTCCACCATGCCGTCTGCGTGCTTCGCAACAACCGTGTGCAACAGAGCACCATTGTTGCAGATATAATTTCAGAAGGATTCCTCATGAGAAAATGGAGCGCCAGTGGATTCCACGGAAAACAGCGGTCGCAGATTGAGTTTGGGAAGGAACCCTGATGGAAAATGCAGCGCCGCTGGAATCGACAAGACTTCCCGAGTCCTCCCTTATTATCCTAACTCCTTCCATCTGTGTCCAGGAGGCTCCAGCAGAATTGGCCGTCCGAGAACCAAGTGGGTTGATTTAATGGACCATTCTGCGATTCACGCTGAGATGCGCGCGTGCGGTGTAGCGCCGACCCGCACGACAAGGGGGAAAGATGAGCGAGGTGTAGTAGTAGTAGGAGGAGGAGGAGGAGGAGGAGGAGGAGGAGGTGGACGTGGAGGTGGAGGAGGAGGGAAGAACTTCGCATTACGTAATCAGCGCTTCCCTGGCGTGGTGTTTAGCTGTCCGCAGCAGATCCTCACCTACATGCTCTTTCTACCTGTCCTGTGCACGCAGGCGCTGTGGTGTACACCAGCGCTGCGTGGCACGCGGATGCTGTGGTGCAGACATGCGCTGTGGTGTGCACAGGCGCTGCGGTGCACGTAAGCATTGTGGTGTACACAGGCGCTGTGTTGCACATGGTTGCTGCGGTGTATACATTCGCCGTGGTGTACACAGGGCTTGTGGTGCACGCAAGTACTGTGGTGTACACAGGCGCTCCGTTGCACACAGCTGTCGCGGTGTACGCAGGCGCTGCGGTGTACTCGCGCGCTGTGGTGCACGCGAACATTGTGGTGTACACAAGCGCTGTGGGGCAGATCGCCACCTATATGCTGCCCCTAGTTGGCCCCAGTGATCCCTGAGCATTCCTTGACTCCGCCGGCGCGGAACGTGACGTCATCTGGGGGAGGGGGGGCGGGGCCAATGACGGCCGTTATCCCGGAAAATAAAGAAGGACTCCTGTGGTGCTGGAGCCACACGGAGGGGCGGGGGGCGTTACGTTATGCCCCCGCCCGCCCCCCCCACCCCATAACGCCCATTATCGCTTCGCCGAAAATTGAAGAAACGCGATCCTGGTTCGATGTCGATCACGGGTGCGGAGACGTTGCGTGTTTCAGGGGTTTGGGGGGTCCTCGCCCCTGTGGCCTGCAGCGTCACGAGTCTTCCAGTATCGTCCCAAGACGGCTCCCGGGCCTGCCCCGAGACCACCCAGCAGAGCGCAAAAGGGTCCAGGACGGCTTCCGGCTCATTTCGATCCGACCGATCCGCTTCGATGTCGATTCCAGCCGGCACGATCCGATTCGATTCCGACGTTCGGGTTCGATTCGATTTGGGCCTGTCGAGAACGGCGGCCCTCCCCGACATGTTTCGTCAGTTGTTGGGCCTACGGGAGGCTTCCCGTCGCCAGGGCTGGATCCGCTTCGGAGGCCGCTCCAGCGGGACCCCAGGATAGGTCTCGGGGTATATTTGGAGCGGCTTGGAGCTGGGCGGGTGAGCCGCCGTGGTGTCAATTGGTCTTCCTCT